TTGATAACAAATACTTTAAATATTTCTTAAGTCATCTTTTCGCGCAATTTTCACGACATCCAATGCAATTTATAAAACTTCCTTCCTAAAACAAAAGTGGTTAAGGCTATTGATAAATGCCCAACTTCTTTCTTTTTTTTTGAATGAAAATTTTATCTTACGCGTCCCAAGTTTTGCAATAGAGGTGCCATAGCGCAAGCTTTAGAAATAATGCAGACACAAATTATTAACACTGTAGGTGTTGACATGGCGTATTATGAAGTATTAGAAAGGAATGATAGAGAAAGCATTTGCAAAAATTAATTATATAACTAAGCAGCCTTTAATTATTCCTGATATAGGAGGAGCGTTGCTATGGAATTTGAGCTCATCATTTTTAATTGTTTCAAAGAATCTTCTGAAAGATTTTGAAAATATTATTAACCTGCGGATCCTGTTTTAGTAACGATATTCATGCAGTGCAACACAATTATGAGCATTGTGTAACTTCGTATCTCGAAAATTTAACGGTCGAGACATGGTTATATATGGTGATGTAGTATGCGACCAATGAAGTAGCCTCGCGTGAGAAAATGCTTAATGAGAACTAGTTCCGATGTACAACTGGTAAATGAGTTCATATATTTGGATAAATACAGGTAAATTCTTGTCATTTGAATTTAGTAAGTAATGCTCAATGATGTATTTTATTGTGAAATTCTTTCTCAAATGGAAATCTATTATGGTATTTATGGAAATTTCTAACGTTAATAATCATTTTTATATTTTGAAATCTTTTTTTTTTTTGATTGGGGCTTCATCTTCATCGACACGAAATTTTGCAAATCTGCTCTGCTTTCTGCGGCTTATAATCATTTCTGCGGATATTTATATTATGTACAAAAAAAAAAATTAAATCGCCATTAAAATGCATCATTTTTAATTGTTTCAAAGAATCTTCTGAAAGATTTTGAAAATATTATTAACCTGCGGATCCTGTTTTAGTAACGATATTCATGCAGTGTAATACAATTATGAGAATTGTGTAACTCGTATCTCAAAAATTTAATGGTCGGGACATGGTTATATATGGTGATGTAGAATGCGACCAATGAAATAGCCTAGCGTGAGAAAATGCTTAATGAGAACAAGTTCCGATGTTCAATCTTTTTTTTTGTTTTTTTCACATCCGTTCGTTTCAATGTAATCGGTGTTTTTCCCAAAAAAATTTTAAACATTCGAATTCAATGGAAAATAAATTGCACGCTTCTTTACCTGCGGATCCTTTTTAGTAACGATATTCATACAATGTAACACAGTGATGAGCATTGTGTAACTTCGTATCTCGAAAATTTAACGGTCGAGACATGGTTATATATGGTGATGTAGTATGCGACCAATGAAATAGCCTAGCGTGAGAAAATTGCTTAATGAGAACAAGTTCCGATGTACAATCTTTTTTGTTATTTTCACATCCGTTCGCTTCAATGGAATCGGTGTTTTTCTCAAAAAAAATTTGAATTCAATGGAAAATAAATTGCAGCTTTTTTAAATTCACAAGCTTGCCTGCGGATCCTGTTTTAGTAAACGATATTCATGCAGTGTAATACAATGAAGAGCATTGTGTAATTATTGTGTAACACATATATCAAAAATTTAACGGTTATATATGGCGATGTAGATGTGACCAATGAAATAACCTAGCGTGAGAAAATGCTTAATGAGAACTAGTTTTAATGCCAAATTATAAACGCATAATTTAGCATAAATTCCGAATGTACGTGACCTGTACGACGTTATATATTAAATAAAATTCACGCGTACGGTCCAACTTCTTTTTTCCGTCTGACAAATACGAAAAGCAACGAGTTCGTCTAGCCTACGTACTTTTGGTTACGTTGGTAAGTTCTATAACTTCAATCTTGCTTTAATAAAAATTATCCAGTTTCAAACCATTCTTCAACTTCCTAGCTCTCATCACGTATTTGAGATGTCAAAAAAGCAGATTTTTCGAGGCTTAACCGAAACGCTATAATTACTTCTTTGTCTTCAATTTTGAAATTTAGAAGCTATGACCTTGATAATGCCTGGGCTGGAAGTTTTATAAGGAAAACAGAAAGATTAGAACCGAATTAAAACACATTGACTTATTTGAAAAAGTGCGTCCTTTTTTATTTTGCAAAGTGGGTAATGCGCCTTGGCTCAGGAGAATTACTGGTTTTTGATACTGGTACCGCTCCAGGTGTTCTTAACTCGGGCGCCCAAACTTTGTTGTTGGTAAAGGACTTTCTTTATCACTAAATAAAAAGTTAATAGGTAGAATTGGAAGTGGTTTGGGAGGACATTATTAGGGGATTTAAGCTAGTGAGTAAACTAATCTTGTATGATTTTAGAGTTAAATTGTAAATTAAATATAAGTATTAACTAATATCATTTGTAGAGACAGAATATTTCTAATTTCGAAGCTGAAAATTACATATTGCTCAATCATTACATGAAATTGAAATGCAGATACAAGCAGAAAATACCGAACTTGTTGAGCTGGTCAACAAATGGTCTAAACATGATACTTTTGGGTTACAACTTGAAGATTATGACGTACAAGTAGGGTTGGAGACGGTTCAAAAAGAGCGACTTAGAGTCGGTTCTGGTACCGGTTATAAATTCAGCATATTCTGGGTTTTCCTGAATTACAAACCATTTATAACCAATTTAAAAATCGAGCCGGAACCGACTCCGGACCGGTTCCAAAAGTCGGATTGTCATCAAATTAAAGTTAGTAATAGGTCGAATTTGATTGATAACTAGTCAAAAATTTTTTAAATAAATCAACATCACATGCTCTATTAGGCTTAACACTCAAAGTTTTAATTTACTTAAGAAGAGCGAATTAGAACCGAAGAGGAACCGAAATGGAACCGATAGAACCGTCCCCATCCCTACGTACAAGAACTAAATCAAGGATCTAAAATCTTCAAGAGCTGATGGATCAATCGGGTCCCTCTAGTCCGAATTACGAATATAATGATAATGATAATGACGTTTATAATGACCATCATGGATCTAATAACCACAATTGTAGTAATAATTCGCCACCCATTAGTGATGCTTATGCGGGTGCGGGTAAGAAATCTCGTCAAAGGTTACAAGAAAAAGGAAAAAAGAGGTACAACCATCCTTGATGAGAAAAATAGTCTTCGTAATCAAGAGCTTATATATTATAATTATGGATCTCAAGCAAGGAAACGACATAAAAATAAACCCGTAAGTATAAATTAAAATATTAGTAATAAATTACAATATTCAACTATTTATATATTATATTTATAGCCATCACAAACATCACCATCATTATCACCTCCACTACCTCCTCCACGATCATCGCTATTACTGTCACCATCATTATCTCCGTCACCTCCTTCAGGTCCATTCACTTTGGACTTTGAATACCAGTATGACCAAGCTTCAGGTTCTGGCACAAAAGCTGATGATGGAGAGGTATATTAAACAAATTATATTTTAAAGATAAAATATTAACATTGCTTATTATATAGGAAAGACCACAAAAGAAAAATCAATGTTTGAATTGCCCCATACATTGTTCAGAAACGAAACCGCTTAATCCATTTTATATATTCTTAATTTTTCAATATGTATTTCGCGTATAATATTCTCAAAACAAGAAACTGCTTAAATTCATTTATATACAGTCTACCCTTGATAGAGCGAATTTTTGATATAACGAACCACGTGATGCTTGACCAATTAAATATGTCAATTTTCCCTCTCTATACGAATTTGCTATAACGGCTGCTTCGCTATATTAAGGGTAGACTGTATTCTTAATTTTTAATATGTATTTTGTGTATATAATTCTCAATAAAAAAAAATCTTAATCTCTTTTTCTGTAAATAAATGTATGATTTTTTTAGTGCACACGAATTGCATTTTCTGATGCATATATACACTTTCCAAATACATCCCACACCTAGCATACATGTTAAAATGGTTAAAAATCACGAGACTGATATGGGCAATTTATCTGAAATTTAAACATAGAATTACATATATTATAAAGTTATTGATTACATAGGTGCTTGATGAACGAACTCCTTAATTTTTTGAATTCTTTCTGGCATAAACATTTCGGTTTTTCATCGTATCATACTTCAAAAAGGGCAATTCCATTATCTTGAAATATGCATCGTTTTTACCGATCACGATTAACAATGTCTTTGAGTTTTTTAACATCTTTATACCATCTGGTGCTATGAAACCGAGGCTGAGCTCCAATGCGATTTGATATTTTGGAAGAAGGCATCAAGCTCTAATCCATTCAAGAAACTCAATTTTCGGCTCCTCTTTAAGAATTTCCTTAGCTATCTGGATGCATCCAGTCTGAAATTTGCGATTTTTCTTAGATTCTTTTTCTGCCCAAGCCTGTTCTAGTTTTATAATTCTTTTTAAGGGTTCAGCATGTTCCTGACTCACCTGGCTACACAACATTGAATAATTCACATCTTGTATAAAATTATTATTCATGTCATCCGAGCTTGAATTATTGGAACAATGTATTGCCAAGCTTCGCTCAGGATTTTACCCGTAGTACATGACGTTTCTATGCAAAATCCGCAAATATAATTACGGCAGGATCTAAATTTTTAAAAAATTTATTATTATTCCAAATACATACATTGTATTATTATTTAATTCTTGTCATGTTTTTGGCATTGTTCTTCGATTTTATCATGCCCAATCATTTTCCAATGATTTGAAATTTGGGCGAATATTTTTGAATCATAAATGTCTTTTAAGTTTGTTAAGTGATTCTTCTAACAACTCCTTAATCTTAAGTGTAATTTGAAATTAAAAAAGATTAAAATGTAATCGGCAAAAATACAATTAGCAAAATCCATGTTGTTTAATAAATCTCTCTTTCTTCATCAATACTTTTCAATAATATAATCATTTTCTTGCTCAACAATCGAATCTTGAGTTAATGGAAAGCTTAAAGTTTTATGATTTTAAGAATTTTTCAAATTAAATTTTGCCTTCATAGAATGAAATCAATGATTTCGTTGCATATAAAAATAATAATCAACAGAACCAACTATTTTCTTTTCACCATAGTACTGAATATCGGCCTTGTTGAAATATGAAGTCGATAAAATTTTCGAGTAAGAACTTTTTAACAAGAAAGTAGCATAAAATGAACTTGAAATTCAATTTGCAAACTTACTAATTCCGTCCAAATTTTATTTTAATAACATATGACGACTTGAATGATTTTCTACAAGTTCAATTACTATTTTTTCGTGAAATATTTTTTAACTGAATTAAAGAAATTCCAATCGACTTTGTTTAAATAACATACCAAAAACAAAAGGATACTTATTGCTTAAAGTAATTAAAGATGAAGAAATAAAGAAAAAAGATTCGATGTTTTCACTCCCTTCACAACCTTCCACACCAACAATGTCAGAAGCAGTCAAAGACCGAAATGTAGAGGAATTTGTTAAATATTTGAAGGAGCGAGATTTAGGTCTTGAAGGTAAAGAAAAATTACTGACTCCATCTTCCTCAATTCAACAAAGGCTGATTTTCGAAGTATTGGTCTTCCATTTTGAGTTGAGTCTTAAAACGCGAAAATTAAGATCTTTGTCCTCATATAATACTTTCAAAGATTTCAAGGATATTTTAAATCAATTTAACATTGATGGCATTAGTATCAACGAAATTAAACAATTCACACCAGGTAAGGTTATTTTTTTTACCTCAGGATTAATAACAGGCAATGCTTGCTTACTAGAGATTTCCTTCCTAGCACGATATGATCTTGTAGAGTTAGAACGTTGTATAGATGATGTAAAACGAAAATTAGACACTTTGACTCTCTATTTACAGATGATAATGAAGCAAAAGTAGTGAATATATCATCAACATTTTATATTCATCAATTCACATAGTAAAAAGAATTACAAATGTAAAGATTACCTTACACCCTCAGCGCTTGGTAAGAGGGGAAGAAACGGTATTTGGGTTGATTTCGCTGTAAAAAAATACTGAGGAGCTTATCTGTATTACGGAAGACAAGAAGAAAGGAATAAGAAACGGCTTTACTCAATGTATTCTTCAGAGTGAAAGTTCATGAAATTTAAAAAATGTACCGTTGATATGGCATTCGGATGTTATGGTTCAGGAATTCTTTCAGGTTTATTGAAAAATTAAAATCTTTATTAGATTTGCTAAATATCGAAGTTATTATGAAAAAAGTTTTATGTTTATTATTGTGAAAAATAATCATTTTATTGCATGGTATTGTACTAATATTCAGCGAACCTTGCATAATACGTTTTATCGGTCATTTACTATTTGATGATTTTTGCTAGTATAATTAGTTACTAATCATTTATTTTGTTATTATGTCAAATTGTAAATTACTATTAGATAACATTATTTAATATAGTTTACTAACTAATTATTAATTTATTTATTGAAAGTGCAATTTTTATAAACTATCGTCACTTTCTTGTATTTGTGATCTCATGATAGTATGTATGATCTTCATCAGGTACATGTGACGCAGACAATTGTGTTTTGAGGAATTCTACCTTTCGCAAGTGCTAATAGAGGGTAATTGATTACCTTTGGATGAAATATTTTGTGTCATTTATATTATCAAAAGAAAAAAAAACTTTTTTGGGAAAAACAAGATGCGTAAAAGAAAAAAAGAAATATCATTTGTTCTTATGAAAAAATGGTTTAATAAGAATATGATCAAGTGGAATTTGCTGAGCTCCGCTCAGCAAATTCCAACCAATCATATTGCTTATTGCAAATACAACAGTTACTCGGCACTTCGTGCCTATTACTTATTGACCGTTACGTATGCTATCATAAAGTCTAGAATTGTATTGGTTAAAAGAGCGTGATAAATTTCAAAGATATGATCAGTATTATAATGTTTTTTTCACTAGCTTCGAGGAGAAGCATTACGGTCATAGTATTTTTTTTATCTCAATCTTTTCCAGCATATGGTAGTACTGTGGGTTTTGTTGTGATAACTCCCGCCTCCGATGATCGAATTTGTCCTTCAGGGGTGATGTTAATTATTATTAAATTTCGGGCAATATATGGAATATATAAATTGACCGGATTTCCATACTTAAGTGATTCCGTCTGCTTTAATTTAATACATAAATGCTAATCAAACTTCTCTTTTTGAAAAATTCCACTTCGATCATCGCGGGATTTGTTGAAACGGGAAAATACTTTTCCGGGTTAATTCACTGCATGAGCTGGCATATATAATATTCTGAAACGGTTCTTAGAAGGTAATTAAGATAGGGCGGAGGTTTCATTGCTAATTACAAGGAACATTTATTAAACGTTCCTGTTTTTATGGTTGAACCTCCGGAACGGCCTTGAAAAGTAATTAAGGTGAGTGGTGGTTTCTTTGCTGCTTTTATTTCTCGAACTTACTGGTTCATATATGAAGGGTCATTGATCAAGATTTTCGTGATGCGACCATACTTACCGATGTCAAGATCACGCGGGTGTATATCGTAACAAAACATATAAGATCATACCAATATATTCATAACCTGATCCAAGTCGATTGTATCGCTATAACATAATTATGTTATATCGGTACAATCGACTAAAAAAAAAAATTTTAAAATTCTAATAATATCATTTATTAAAATAATAGTTATTTATTATTATATATTATATCTTAGTAAATTCATATAATCTTAAAATACCTTTCTAATATTAAAAGTATTATTTTAATTAATATTTATGATTCAATTAAATGATTATTAAAATAATTTTTAAATTTTGTAATATTTAATAAAATAATATTAATTTGATATTAATATAAAAAAATTCATTTATACTATATTATATTTTCAAATGAAATTTAATTAAAATTTTATATAATAAAACACTTATAAAAAATAACATGATATTATTTTAATTCATAAATATAAATAAACATTAACAAAAAATTTCATTAAAAACCTTTTTATTTAATAAAGCTAAAGAAATTATTTGAAGCAATAAATTAGTTTAAACTAATTGAATAAATAAATTATCATAAAAATAATGATATTAAATGCCCTATTCTATAGATATTTATAAATAATTCTTAATCTTTAATAAAAAAAAAAAAAAAATAACGAGTTGAAAATAAGAATAAACCAAAAAGGAGTGTGATTGACAAATTTCTTTTTAAGTTGGAAAAACATAAATTTCTTAAGTCACGTGACAGTATGTTGCCAATATCTGTCCCACCCAAAAAACAACTTTTGCACGTTTTTGAAAGATTAAAATTGCGGTTTTTGGCACATAACAGTTCGTTTGAAGTTTTCCGGATGCAAAAGATTGGAAATTACCCCTTATGTTTCTAATCAAACATTTCTTGTTGGTTTAACATTGAACAAATTATGCTTTATAATGTAAATGTCATGCACAGAAAATAATGCAAATAATCCTGCGTCATACCAGTTGACAAATAAAGAATTGTATAGTATGGTAATTGGATAATATTACATCAGGAAAAAAAGAGTTCATTAACCTTTAATCAAAGAGTGCCTTTGTAGGCGCAAATGGTTATTCGGTCTTTAATAAAAACGAAAGTTCCTATGGATGATTAATTATCATCAAAAGGCTCTTATCGAAATTTGCCCGGAGAATTTCAAAAGTCATATACTTTTTATCAAACTTTTTTTTTTTTTTTAATTGTCCATCTCTTGAATATATTTTTTAAATCTCTTTCAAATTTCATTAGTATGACTGGCTTTATTTATTTATTTACCATTAAAATTCACGATTTTGACAAGCGCCAATTTATATCGTGCTATAATTTAAGGTGAAACAAAAAATTCTTAAAAACACGTGTAACCTTAAAAGTAATTTAACTCGTTACGGAATAATAAATTAAAGAATTTTCGTACGCCAATGATTTCACTTTTGAAAAATTGATTCCCTACGAAAATTTACCGCGAAATTTCCAGTCTCTTTCTCTCATCTCATAATATAAAGTATATACTGTACATACATGATTACATTATTCTAATATTCTGTTTAAACATTTTTAATATTTTCTTTAATGACCACTTACACATTCCTGTCAAAGAATGAGTATATATAAGGTTGACAAGACTGCGGCATAATTTAACGATGTTCTCGCAACATGTGACTTTATTTCCGTTACTCGTCTTTCCAGTTTCTACACAATAAATTTTTCAGGAAGTACAAAATGTATTACTATGCATTAGATAACAAATGATTTTTGACCCTTTCTTTTTAGAAAAACAAACAAAAATAAAGTCTTCAGTTTTATATATCTTGATATAAATCAATTTCTATTTAGAAAGAACCAAAAATCTAAACTCTGTCTCACACATTCCTACAGAAAAGTGTAACATAAATGTTTGACCTTAATAAATTATTTCTTGATGAAATAAAAAATTATTTCTTTATTAGACTCTTTTTTTTTGAATAAAAAAAAAATATATTTTTTTTTTGTCGTTTAATGAAAGGTTATCCTTTATTCCCTTTTCAAAACCGATATTTATCTCACCTTACATTCACTTACTAAACCCAGTTTCCTTTTTTGTTAATAAATAAAACTCACGATATTCTTATAATTTTTATCCGTATTTTACTCAAAAATTCTTATTTTTTATTTTTTATTTTCAATTAATTTCTTTCCTTTTTCTGTGATATACCTTATTTATTCCCGAATTCTCAAATAAAATCTTCTCTATGTATCATTCATTTATAAACAAATAGTCTTATAAATATTTACCCCCCCTCAAATATAAAATGTTTCATTTGTCATCAAATTAATCAAAAAAAGGCTTAACTCTTTTTCTCGCTCCATTAATTATAATTCCATTTAATTGACCATTCACTATAAAAAAAATCTGAAATTTTTTTTTTTTTTTTTTTTTTTATGATAATTTCATTTTCAACCAATCAAAAAAGTATTATTATTTTGTTTTTGTTTTTTCTTACTCTGCGAATAAATTTAATATATATATATATATCAGAGAATATTTTGTAATCATATTCCTTTAAAATCTTGTTGAATCGAACAAAGCGATTTTTGGTTATATAAAAAAAAAATATTAAAAAAAAAGGAATTAACGATAAATGAAGGATCAACCAAATTCTGCAAATTTTCCTGAAACCGATGATGGAAGAACGTATCATTTTGGAGTTAAACGCGGTGAAGGTCACTAACTTTTTTCTTTTCTTTTTTTTTTTTAAAAAAAAAAAAATTTCCTTTTTTTTTATTTGTTTTTTTTAAAAAAATTCTGCGCCTCAATTCAACCCTTGTTTTTTTAAAAAAATTTAGTCGCGAATCGAATCATAACGGTTGAAGATCCTTCAAAAGCATTGACGATAGAAAAATTATTAGATCGAAATCCGAAACCGTATATATTTAATTCAAGGAGAGGTTTCTTAACAATAACAGGACGTTATAGGAGTATCCCTATTAGCATAATCTCTATATATCATGTAAGTTCCAAAAATCAAAGAATGAATGAATAATTTATTTGTCTTTGCAACTTTAGTAACTAACTGTCTTTATAGGGATTTGCTATGATGGATCTTTTCATAAGAGAAGCCCGACATGTTGTTGACGGACCTTTGGTTATTATTCGATTAGGAACTTGTGGTTCAATAGGAAGTCCAAGTATAGGAGATATCATGATACCGACCGGATCATTCGCCGTAACAAAGAACTACGATTATTTCATTCATGGAATTGATACAAAAGATGCCTTCCCCATCGTAGATTCTCCTTATAATATATCAAAAATCACTTATTGTGATCGGGAAATGTGTGAAATGGTAATTCATGCGTTTTTTGATTTGATTTGGATTTTTTTTAATTTTTTTTTTATAAATAA